ACTTTTTTGCAACTAGGCTGCTCTCTGACAATCGGTCCGTCTGTACTCTGAATTACACTCTTTTAAATAATATAAAAATATTCTTTATTAATAAGATGATCTGGATTTAAACTACGTATATGATATAATAATTAAAATTTTGATTCTCATTATCTATTTTTTATAATTTGAATTTCAAGATAATAAAAAAATGTATTAATAAATTAATAGAAAATCATTTTGATTTGACACTCCCTAAGAAAATACTGTAAAAAAACTTTTTTATGCTGAAAATACCACTATTATATATATAAATATTCGAAAGAAGTTGCGTGTTTAAAATTGTAGTAATAATTATGCTTTAAAATATTTTTTGTTTAAAAATATATTAAAATAATATATTTTTTATTTTTAAAATTTATTTTTGATAGAAATATATCAAAATAATATTAATAATTTTTAATAATAAAAACAAATTAAAATTTTAAAAAATACAATTTGCATAGTGGACTATCAATTAACGAAAAGGCCCAGTCCATTGCCGCATGAAAGCAAATGTCATGCCCGCGAAGCTTTTCGTTTTGATTTTTTGAAAGGACAATTAAGCCGCCATCGCCTGCTCAACAAATTCACAACGCCACTTCTATTCAGATCTATCCATCCACTTCAATCATATAAGGTATTCCCAAATTCTCTCCTTATTTTTTCTTTACATTTCCATTTCCTTTTTGCTGTTTGTTTCCTGAGAAAACGAGGTTAAAAAAACCCCCCATTTGCAGAATATAAAAACTTCAGGTTTAAGGTGCTTAGTTTCTCCTAATTAAGCTTTTATCTGCATTCCAATCCATCATGAAACTAATTTGGTTTCTGTTCATTGCGGATCTTGTAATTAAAATTCACAAAATTTCGTTTTAGAAAGATGAAGGGAGAGCTCCTGGAGTGTTGCCCGAAACTAGAAGCCGGTGATGTCTCAGGGCTGAGTGCTATACTGGTAGCAACAATTCAAGAAGCAAAAGACAGGATTTCTCAAATAGAATACATATTCTGTAACCAGCTTTACCCGAATTATCAAACGAAATCCAAGAGCTTGCTGAAAATTTATTCGGATGCGGAAGGGGTGTGGAAAGAAAAGGAAAAATATCTCTTGGAGCTTATTGAGAAGCTTCGGGTTGAGAAGCAGGAAGTTGTTGAAGAAAACAAGCTTCTCAAGGCTGGGAAGGAAAAGTCGGCGGGGGAGCCGAATGAGAAGGCAAATGTGCTGCTTGCTATACTAAGAAATCGAGAATCGAAAATTGATGAGCTGGAGCAGGAGGTTATGAAGAAGTATAAGGAAGTTGATGAGGGGATGGAATTGCAGAATACGTTACTTCAGTTGGTTCAAACGAAGGCAGCTATGATTGTGGATAAAGAAAGGGAACTGAAAACGAAGGACGAGAAGACCAATGAGCTGCTTGCTAAAGTGAAGAGCTTAGAGAAACATGTTGAAGAGCTAGAAGAGGAGGTTAGGACGAAGACAGAAAAGGTAGCAGAGAAAACAGAGTTGGCAAACAGTTTGAGCAAGAAAGCTTTGTCTCTATTGAAACTGATTGAGGATAACGAGAAGTTCACGACTGAGAATGGAAAGGAGAAGGAACAACTTGTGTGCAAAGTGGAATGTCTGGAGGAGAATCTTGGTGGACTTAAAAAAAAGTTAAGGGAAAAAACGGAAGAAATTGAAGACGGGAGAGTATTGCAAGCTGAATTACTTCAACAAATTGAAATAAATGCTGTGGAAATCTTGAAGCAAAAAGAACAGTTGGAGAAGTCTGAGAATGATAAAAAGGTACTTTTAGACAAAGTGAATGGGTTAGAGGAGAAGGTCAATGAGCTACGGGCAAATCTCAGTAGCAGCGTTAAAGAGGCTGAAAGAAAGGTTTCGTATGAAAACTTGCTTCACGGAATTGAATTGAAGGATTGTGAGTTGCTGGCTGAGAAGAGGAAGATGAGGGATTTGCATGGTCTCTACATAAAGTTGAGGTCTCAATATAAATATCTCTGCACAAAGTCTGGTCTTACTATGAAGAATTTGCTTAATGACAGATTAGAAGATGAAAGTGGTTCCTTGAAACATCAACTGACAACTTCAACTGGTAAGGTTTTATGGATTCTTTACTTCATGTTTCTATAAAGTAAAGAGAACTAGACAATTTAATTCCGTGGTGATTCGTTAGTAGTTGTAGCTTCGTAGATTGCAGATAAATTGCTAAATTTTCCTGGTAGGTACTTCGAATGTTTAATCTGTAAATTGCTAAATTTTCCTGGTAGGTACTTTGAATGTTTAATCTGTTTTTTTTTTTTTCCTGAATTTATGATGTTTGTGCTTTATAAAATCCTGCCAGAAAAAAAACCTCAAGGGCGTATGTAGTTTCTCATAAATTGCATGTGCATTTCTTCCTGATCCTAACCGATCTTCTATTGCTTGGTATTTTAGACCGTGGGAACAAAAATGTTGATGCATCTGCCGCGCCTTGTGAGATGAAGGAAGTCAAGACTGAAAATGAATTTAGCAATGTCTTGGTGGACAATGAAGTTGTGAAATCAATTCCAATCGCAAACATCAAATCTCCAACTTCTGGTTATGCTGCACCAAAATGTCCTCCCACTGTAAAATCCGCTCGAATAATTGGCACAAAGCGACCTGCATCTAGTTGGATAGATACTAGATCTCGTCAAGGAAAAGATGGGCCTGACCCTCACGACGATTTCCTTGATACCCCATTGGAGAACCTGAGGGCAGACTTGGACAAAGCCATGAAGGAAGAAGTTCATGATCCTCAAGTTGTAGTTCAGAAAGAAAAAAACATGGACCCTGGCAGTTCAGATGATGAAACGCAGGATACAAATGTTGATCGTAGCCCTGGGGAGCAGCGGGTGCCAGTTCCAATAGATGGAAAAAGAGGTTTCAAGTATGTTGAACCAGTTCGAAAGAAAGCTGAGCGGCAAAACTTGAAAGGAGTTCAATGCAAGCAGTGCAAAAAATTCTATGATGCAGTTCTTCCCAATAATGGAGGTAAGTCTGCTGATGGTAATAATCAGAACGTTCGGTGTGAACATCATGATGGTGTTTCTAGGCATCGATACAAGTATGCACCTCCCATGACGCCTGAGGGATTTTGGAATATTGGATTTGAATCTGAAATGTGATTTTCTTGAGCTTGAGATGCCTTTACTGTTTGTCACGTTATTTTTTGTTTTAAATCAAATCTGGTAAATAACTAATAAATGGAAGTTAAAATAACATATCTTCGAGCATTTGCAAGGCCCTCCTTCCCCGTTACCTGATGTGTATCAAAGGTAAGATTATCTTTTCATAACATCAGGTTCCTTTTTATGTTCACCATTGAAAGACATGTCCAATAGGGGAATTTACTGTTCCAGGCAGATTAAATTATCGATACAAGGATCTAGCTGGTTCTTGTTTGTGGTAATTGTGTGTGTTTTGTTTTAACTGTATTGAAATAATATTTTTTTATTTTTTAAAATATATTTTTATATTAACATGTAAAAATGATTTGAATATATAAAAAAACATTTGAAAATATATAAAAAAAAATTATTTTATTTTATTTCAAAAACACGCAAAAACAAAAAAAATAATTTTTTTTTTCAAAAACACGCAAAAATAACTTAGTCATCTTTAAAACCCAAGTGACTGTCTTGTCGTTTAATTGGATGTTTCAATCTGGTTAAATTTTTCTTCGTCATGACCGATCGAATCATGGAATGACTGGATATTCGCGAAATTCAGTCAATGGCGAAAACACTAAACTAGATGTTGCAACATTCAGCTTAATGATGATAAGAAGTACATGTCTTAAGATGTTGCAACATTCAGCTTAATGATGATGATAAGAAGTACATGTCTTGTGGTTTGTTCTGGATTATATATGACTGTTCAAAATATTATAGAAAATGTTCCGGAAAATCATCTACCTGTTTCGCAACAGGGGTTTTAAGATCAATGCTGGTGGATTTCTATCAACAACATTAACAGTCACTAGAAAAGTGCTGCTTGATGCAGTTTGCTGGATGTCAATGAGAGAAATCACGACACCAGGGGTAACTTGGTTTCACGAGTGAATGGTTTGCTTAACTGGATTTGAGCCGAAATCCAAGAAGAAACTTAGAAATAGCAAGTTTCGTCCAGTGTTGTTGGAAGCTGTTTCTATCACGAACTTTTAACGACCTTCCATTGAAGACTGGAGTTTGCCAGTTTTTGGAAGGTAAATGTTCATGCTACCTCTTCTCTTCTGTTTTGTGAGGATAAAGACTAGCCGAGTTTTCATCAAAGAAGCAGAAACATGCAGTGTACGCCAGCAAACCAACGCCCATATCGCTATTTGGCACCATCAGTGAGAAGGGAGCAGCATTGTTGTATTGTAATCAATGAGGTACGCACCATTTATTACATTGGAACATGCATTGCTGTATGAGAGTCTGACTTCTGCTATTGTGTTTGCTTCTCTTCCCACCTAACAATATCATAAATTAATGCTGTGTGAGAAATTTAAGTTCTATCTTCGATAAATGCGCGCGAAAAAGTATGGGCATGTGCTATCTTATGCAAACAATAACTGGTTCATGCCGCTGCTTGTTAAGAGCTTGCTCAAATCCAATGCATTGTGCTAGGGTATCTTAAATAGGGCAGCAGATCATAACTATTGTCTAACCTCCTCGCAAAAAATGGAAGTTGATTTGTTTCTGCGCTTCGTGCACAGTGCTAGCAGTTAAAGAAATTGAGGAACTTTATGTATTCATTGATTATTTCTTTTTGAAGTGCAGAAAGATATATAGCCTTCACTTCTGTTCCTCCAGGCACCGAAGGCCTTGAAGATAGACCGCACATCTATGAAAATAATAAGTAAAGCAAATCTTTTCATACAAATAATGCGAATCTCTTTATGATCCTGCTGTTGTTGATCACGTGGATGCTGTTTTTGCATATCCAAAAGCAGAAAAAACAAAAAGGAAAGTGCTTTGGATTTCCTTTAGTATTGCTTTTGATTTTAAAAATGTTTTTGGAAAAGATTAATTTTTTAATTTAAATATTTTTGTTTTTAGATTTTTTTAATATACTTATATTAAAAATAAATTTAAAATAATAATAATTATTATTATTTCACTATATTTCTAAATAAAAATATATTTTAAAAATAACTGCAACTCAAGCTTCTTTAAAAACATGAACCAGCCAGTGTTTTTTTAAAAAATAATTTTTATTAAAAATTGAAAAAATTTATATTTTTTGAATCATTTTGGTTTGCTAATTTTAAAAATATAAAAAATATTATTTTAATATAAAATATGCTTTAAAAACAAACAGAATTACGCCAAACATTCCTTTCTTGTGAGAGAACCAACTCTCCTTATCTTTTCATGTCTGGATTCTCCTTAGTGTCCTGCAATTATTTCAGCAATGTTCATCATTAAGCAATAATAATGATGCTTAGAAATTAATTAATAGTGCATGATCTTGATCACACATTCCCAGGAATCTCTGTCAATCGAGCTCATGCTGTGTTATCACGTGCATGCAACTATTTTAAATTTTGTCCATTTCAGCTTAGGATCCACATCATCATTGCAATTACATTAATAAAATATAGAAATAACTCACACTTAATATGATGATCCACTTTTACAATAATGACACTTGAGCACACCTCTAGAACAACCCGGTATTTCGGGAGAAAAACGAGACGCCCCGTTTTACCCTTTATCGGCTTATTAATACATTAACAAGTCCTTAATGGATTCCCGCAAAGACAATCATTAGAACTAAACGAGGATGCTTCAAGGTGATCAAATGGTGTCCCAACAGGAATTGGTCCGCAAAGATGATTGTGGCTTAAATCCAAATGCCCCACATATGCTGCCGACGAAAGTGAACCGGGTATCGGACCCTTCAGTTTGTTGTAAGACAAGTCAAGAGCCATGAAGTAAGATTTCGGCCCGAAAGCATCCGGTATGTTACCTTCAATAGCATTCCTTCTCAAGTTCAATATCCCCAAACCGGTACTGCTCAACAAAGATGCTGGCAATTGACCGGAAAGCATGTTACTATCCAGATTAAGCGTAGAAAGAACCCGCATGCTGCCTATCCAGCCCGGTACCGAACCCGAGATTTTATTAACAGACAAATCCAAGTCTGCTAGCCGATACATGCCCGATATAGAGTTTGGTATTGCTCCGCTCAGCTGGTTTTTACTCAACAATGCACGGCTAAGCATTTTCAAGTTGCCAAAATCAGCTGGCAACTGACCAGTCAACTTATTGCTGCTAAGATCCAAATGCTTCATATTTGCCAAAGCAGTGAGAGAAGCAGGGATCTCTCCAGTGAGTCCATTATCAGCAAGGTTTAAAACAGTAAGTCTCTGTAGATTCCCTATATTTGCAGGAATCTTGCCAGATATTTTGTTACCTATAAGATCCAAGATTCGGAGATTACTTAAAGAAGCAACACATCCAGGAATTTCACCCGAAACACCTTTCCAGTCTGCCAGAATGAGCGTAGAGAGCCTGTCAAGTTTACATATTGAAGGGTTGATGGAACCTGTCATGTAGCCTGACCTGCCAGCCTTCTCAAAGATGGGGTCTTCGGATTCACCTCGCAGGTTGATGTCTGCGACTCTGCCTGTGGTGGGGTCACAGCTGATGCCGTACCAGTTGGAGCAGCAGTTAGTGCCTGACCATGTGTTGAAGATGCCTAAGTATGGTTCATTGAGGGAAGACTTGAAGGCTAGTAATGCTGCTAGGTCTGATGGAGTGCAGCTGGAAGTGGCTGCGTAGATGAGGGTGAAGAGGAGAGCTAGTGTTGTGAGTAACGCACTCATCTCTGGCGATTTTGAGTTTTGCTCGGAGCAAGCGTCTTTAATTGCTAGAATGTATTAGCTTTTGTGTTTTTAAGAGGAGGATGTCGGCAATGAAAGCAGAGAGTGTTGTGTCAGAGACAGAGAGAGAGAGAGAAGGAGGGGAGGAGGCTTTGAAAACTGGAAGATGAGGTGTGTTATATATATATTGTTTTGGACGAGCATGTCCTTGATCTATTGTCTAATTTACGGTTCAACTTCAATCCCCATGATTTAGTTTCTTTTTTTCTTTTAAAGAGTTCAAGTGCCCATTTATAAAAAATAAATATTGATTAGTTAATTATAATCATTTGAGAATGCTCACATATATTACTCTATAATTTTTCTTAGATAATTAAATAACGTGACTTGTTGCTAGAAAATGCACTGGTAAGTTTAGGTTATAAATCCTAACTCCAGGTAAGGATTCAAGGATTATTTAATATATTTTAGTTTTCTGTTTTTAAAGAACAAATTTGAAAAAAAAGAAAAGGAAAAGACATTCACGAAACTAACACTTGTTTGTCAAATCTCTTCAGAAAAGTGGGACATTGGTCTTTACTCTTAAGTTTTGCCTTCTTCTCGGTAAGAAAAATTCAAAAACAATCACAGTTTCCGGTTCTGTTTCCAAATATGGTTTCTGTGCTCTCTTCTCCCCAGTCACTATTACATTGCAATCGAATATCCAGTTAAGGCCTCCATGAATAACTGTATAGGTGAGCGAGACCGCGGGGCCCTGAGACAGCCTCCTCTGTTATCGGGCAGGAAAAATATAAATGGCCCTCCTCCCTCCAGCTGTGTGCTCTCTATGCGCAAGACATTATCTGCTGGGAAATGCCAAAAAAAAACAAAAACTTGGATCTAATAAAGACATCATATGCAAAAGTTCATGTTC